ACATATGTATACTCCCAAAACACACGTCCCACCATTTCTTCTTCCCTGCACCTCCCCGTTGGGCATCTTGATGAGCTTCTCAAGCCCCATCTGTGTTGTAAGAAATGTCTTGCCAGTGAGAGAAGTACAACTATCCATGCTAGGTCAGCATGTTCCCTTTTTAGTGGTTTACCTGCCACTACTCCCCACACCTTCACTTGTTCTTCTGTGAAGTTTCCCACCAGCACCATCCTGTCTCTCTCCCTTACCGCTTTCATCAATTTCTTATGATCCTTCAGGATCTTCAGTCCTACCTTCCCTATTTTATACCTCTGCATGAATCCTTCCATCCTAACCTAATGAATCACTGGCTATCATGCCCATGGACTCTTCAAAGAGGTCTAATATACTCCCCATTTCCTCAGAATTGCAGCTGGGTGAAGTCAGGTGATATGTGCTGCTTTCCCCTCTCCCTCTGTTACTGCCTTGAATATTGTACTAACATACTTTGCTTGGACAAACAACCCCAATCCAACAGTCCCCATCTATCCCCACCTTGCTTTGTACAGTTCAGCTCTAGCCAACCTTTCTCTTTTGGCATTCCAGAAGAACACACATTTCCCTCTGTACTTTTGCTATCTGCTGCCATGTTACTAGGAATACAATTCCCATATATAGAATAATTGTCAGTAACACAGCCTTAAATGCTGCCACTTTTCTGACAAAGGACTGTGTCCTTCCAGACCATAACCAAATTATTTGCCATAGCCTTGCCATCATCGTTTCCCATGCTATATCACCTTTCTCCTCAGCATCCATCGGAATCCCTAGCACTCTGATTTCTCTCTCTCTTATTTGAAGGCCCAGCTTCTTCAAGTTCCTTCAGTTCCCCACTCCCCACTTATGGTGCTTTTTAATCTATTTAGCTTAGCCCCCATCACTTCTCCATACTCTGATGTATGCTTTAGCACCCTTTCCACTGAAAATTTGTTTCTAGCCACTACATTTATATCATCCATGTATAGTTTGCATGTTACCTTTCTCCCTCCTGGTATCTTTACTCTGCTTATGATCTTATCTTTTCTAATTCTTTGTGCCAATGGTGACTTGCCACACACAAATAGTAGCCGTGACAGGGGACACTCTTGTCTCACCCCTATGTGGATTTTGAAGGCCATTTAGGTGCCCATTGATTTGGACTTGACTCTCCACTTCTCTATACAACAACTTTATCCAACATATACATTTCTCTGGGAAACCCATTGTTCCAAGCATCTCAAATATGTTATCATGATCAACTCTGTCATATGCTTTTTCTAAATCTAGGTTTGCTATAACTGTGTTTGTTTTCCTCTCTTATATCTAGGACAGTGCATTTCTGAACACCTGATTGCTTTGGAGATCCTTCTACCTGGTACTGTGTATACTTGGTCTTCATGTATTATCTTCTGGAGGTTTTTCCTCATCCTCAAAGCCAGCAACTTGGCCACTGACTTATAGTTAAAGGGGCTACCAGGCCCCACCCCCCCAGATTTATTTTCCCTGCTACAGCAGTGGGAGGGGGACAAATTCAAGCAAACCTCCAATAATTAGATTCTAGATATGGAAAATTAAAATTTATAATTTTTCCATATACAGAATCTAATTATTGGGGGGGGTCATCTTATAATCAGGGTCATATCTATTTTGGTAAATACGGTAACTAAATGCTTTATACAGTAATGGAAAAGCCAGCACATTTACCACACAGATGCACAATATGGTAAGGGTACTTAAAGGAAACAAGGGTACAATATTAGCTGCTTTGAGAATCTTAACTCATTATTTCCTTTAAGTACCCTTACCATATTGTGCATCTCTGTGGTAAATGTGCTGGCCTTTCCATTATTTTATAAAGCATTTAGTTACTGTATTTACTAAAATAGATATGACCCAGTCCTCTTTAAGTTGGACTGTCAAGCACATCTAAGCCTCCATGAGACAATCAATGTTTCAAGATGTTACACAGAGCTCTGATGTACCATTTAGTACAAAGTATCAAACACAAAAAGCCTCCACTTATTTACACCAGCTGAATATCTGTCTCCTTTTATTTACACATGAAACAGAACATATAATCATGTAGGACAGGAGATCTGTTGGCATTTCTATGAACCTAAATCTCATATTCTCACAATATATAAAAATATGCCATTTCAAAATGTAATCATTGGGGTTTTTTGTTTTTTTTTTTTAAAGATTCCCATTATAGCAATAACGTTTGAGAGTAATTCAGTTCAATATTTCCCAGTCATTGCTATCAACTACTCTCTGAATCACCACTACCAGGAATCCCAGCACTCTGAAACATCACTTCATCAATACCAATATCTACTGCTAGAAGGGGACTAATTCTCCTCTGGTGACAGTGAATGACTAAGAAGGGCTACTAAACCTTCCCACATAAAAGAGTTGTTATCCAAAAGGAGAATCCTATTCCATTACAATAAACGGGGGGAAGGGGGGCTAGAAGGGCACAAAGTCACACAAAGAAAACAAGTCTTTGGAGCATGGGGCCTTCCAGGAGTTAGAACAGGGGTGGGCAAAATGGCAGATCCGGCTGGTGGCTGAACTCCATTTCCCAGCAGGCCTGCCCACATCGCTGCAGCCAGTTTCCATGGGGGCCCCAGAAGCGGCAGGGCTGTGACAGCACAGGGCCAGGGTTTCCATGGGGATTGGCCCCAGCAGTGCTGGCAGGGCACGTGGCTGCGCTGGGAGCTGCTGCAGGGGCAGGGCTGGGATCTTGCAGCAGTGACAGCATGGTTGGAGCCAGAGTGTGCAGGCAGTATAATCGCTGCTCTGCCCTGGCTCTGGACCATGTTGTCAGTGCCACAAGATCCCAGCCCAGGAGCAGCTCCCTGCCAAGCCACACACCTTGCCAGCGCTGCTGGGGCTGATCTCCAAAAAAACCCTAGTCCCATAGTGTCACAGCCCCGCCACTGCTGGGGTCTGCATGGAAACCTGCCACAGCAACATGGGCAGGGGCTGCTTCAAAATGGAGTTGCCATGGGTCTGCTCTGGCCCACGGGCTGGACTTTGCCCACCCCTGAGTTAGAGCAAGCATACACACTGGTCTTTCAAACTGAGGAGTTTATGCTCTTTTCTAACTACAGTACAATAAAACTAATGTAGTAATACAAAATGGTACATGCATCTACTGTTACATTGCATTTTCCAATCACACAAGCAAGTACCATTTTGAAACTTTATACAAATACTAGCCATTTGCCTGTCAACAATGACGGGTGGCGGGGGAAGGAGGGGGGGCTGGGATGGAGCACCGCCACCTAATGCCCCATGTTCTGCCTCTTGCAGGATGGGGGAGGGGGAGCCAAGGCCAGCAGTCCTCAGCGCAGCTTTGGAATCATGGCATCATGGCGGGGCTCCCCCACGCTTGGAGCACTCTGATTGGCTGCTTCCGTCAGCCAATCAGAGTGTGAATAAAGCGTTACAGACAGACAAGCTTAGGCTTTTATAATATTCGAATTACACAATTGTGTAATTAAATACTCTATTGAAAACAAATATGTGGGAGGAGGTCAAATTAAAGTCAAGTGACAACCTTAAGGCACCACTGTGGCCTTAGCACTTCTTATTCACAGCTGTGTTTTATATGGAGCTATTATAATTTAGTTCAATTGTGCTATGGAATAGCACAATAGTATGATAATGTACAGCAGTGAAAAATGGCTGTAAGTACCAAATCAAGTCAGTCAGATTTTTGATGAAGCAGTGGGAGGTTTTCAGATACCACAATGATGGTGACTACATCAAAAATGACAGAAGAGAGAACAAAACGCTTGGGCCTGTGTCTGTAGTCTCTCCCCACACACACCTCCCACTCATGCTGTGGTGCACAGCTCCATGAACAGAGCCGCTAGTCAGTCAACCGCTCTGCAGGATGCCATGGAGTAAGCAGAAGACTTCATCTCTTTCTCCAGATACCTACTAATTCTGCCAGGATCCCGACAACAGGGAAGTTGCACACCATAAGTGGTCCTGCCTGCAACACCCCCAAAGCTTTCTGAAAAGTGAAGCACACACAGTTTTGTAGTTTTACATCAGAATATTGGCACTATCCAGAAGCAAACTCTTCTCTGCATTTTTTTTGTTCTGATCATCTTTTCAGTTTCATCCACTGGGTTTTTTCAAAATTAAAATGAAAACATTTTAGTTGTAGCTCATCCTCCGATCACCTTCTGAGTGGGAACAACTGCTGAAGTAATGTCTTGTCAACAAGACGGAGCAGATTTGTCCTTCCTGAGTCAGAAATACACTAAAAGCCCCCAGGACCTGGGCACCTTCAACCCTGCCACAAGGCAGAGAGACCCCCACCACCTGCTCCTTGAAAAACAAAAGAAACTCTCTCCTTGACTCAGTCAAGGCATCCCACGGGGACCGCACGGTTGAGGCCCGGAAAGCAGCGATGCCAGTTTTCCCCCGGCTGTTTCCTGTGCTACAGCTTCCCCGGAGCGGAGAAGTCTCCTGCCATTCACAACTTCCCAGCAGAAACGGAGCCCGGTTTAACTCTCCTGGCGCCCGAGGGACTCCCCGCTCGGCCCGTCGGACGGGGCAGGGGACAAACTCCCCTTCCCCTCGTGTCTCCGCATCGGGAGCCGCCGAGCGAAGCGCTACTCCCCTCACCCCGGGCAGCCGGACCTCCGCTCCCCCGGCGCCCCGTTCCCTGACTCCCTCCCCCCCCCGGCACTTCCGCCTCTGCGACCGCGGGGGGAGCGAGCTGTCCTCGGCAGCTACGCGTCTCCTGCCCTGCTCTGTGCACTCAGCCCCGGGGCAGGGAGGCGGTTCCCCACAGCCCGAGACACAAAGGGGTGAAGGGAACCGAAGCAGAAGGCAACGCCGGAGCAGGAGGAGCGCGCGGAGTCGCCGCGCGGCTGCGGTGCTGACCCCGGGCGCGGCAGCTACTCAGGCGCCGGCTGCGCGCCGGGGGTGCGGTGAAATGTTTACAAGCGAGTCAAACTTACGAAGTCTTCAGTGAGCAGACAGCCCTCCTCGCACCGGCGCTGCTCCCCTGACTCACTCCGGCCGAGCGGGCTGAACCCAGGAACCTGCGTTTGCTTCCTGTTTTGTCCCGAACACCCCAGCCATGTGACGGAGCACAGCCCGGCTTCAGCTCTGCCCTTTCACGACGGGTTCAGAGGTTGCGAGCCAGTTAAACAAGTCTGGCGAACACCTCTGTTGCAGCATGGCCGCGGAAAGGTTCTTGCTGGCACTTTTCATGGAGCAGGAGAAAGATTGCCTCGGTGCCTCCGGCCGAAAGTCGCACTTCCCCGGCTCTGCCTTCCCTACCCACTATAGATATCTGCCGGTGTTCTGCCTAGTTGCTCCCTCGCCCCATGGAGAGGCTGCACTTCATTGCCGCATGGAGAGATCTCTGGATGTGTGCCGTTGTACACCAGCAGTGATGTGATAAATACATGACATGATACTTTGATGATCCACAGCACTCTCCATCCAAGGATTTTAAAAAGAAAGTGTCCTTTAATTTTTAATTCAACACTTTAACTTTTTTTTCACATATAATTCATTTAGGAAAATAGTTCCATTTCTGAAATCAGTTCTAGGGTGATTCTTTTTGAATGGCAAGTCAATAATTTCGTTTGCTACAGCTGAAATACTGTAGAGCCAAAGTTGCAACTGAGTTTCCATTATAAGTTTATTGCTCCTGCTTTGTACTACTTTCTTCTTATGGACCTTAGGATGGGAAAGAGTTGGTGGCAGTAGATCCAAGGCTCCCCCCCCACCCTCTTTTTTTTCCTGTGGACTTCCTGATACCAGCAGGAAAGAAGTGTCACAATTAAAAGGCTAGCTGCTCCTGGTGGTCTTATAGAGTGTACCCCTACAGTGGGCAGGCCTCATCCTATGATGCAAGTCCACAGTTCACTCCTGGTCAGACCAGGACCCAGGTTCCAGCCCTGGGAATCAACTGTGACTCATTCAGTTGGACCACAGCTTGAAAGCCACTGTTTTAGACAAAGCATCATTTATTCACTCACCTCAAGGTATAGGACATGCACAAATACACAGTTCTTCACACACATCCCCTTAAATTAGCCTCCCTAACTCTGTAGCTCATTTGGGTCCAGTCTTCTCAATTGTAAGGAGGGAGGAATCTGTAGCCTCTGGCAAACCACTCATCTCTAGCTCACTTAAAATGAACCTTGTCTAGATTTTAGGTCTTTAATCCCAGGTTTAGCCTTTCTAGCCTGGATAGAGCCCCTTGAAGCTGTGCACTGGAAGCTGACTTACCCATGTCATTGTTCTATCTTTCCTGCTGGGTTTTTTTAACAAACCCTTTAAGACCCCCTTTGACATAACTCCATTCAATAGGCAGCACCACAAAGCCAAACAGGAAAGCAGTCACACACAGTATTCCTACAGAAATAAATCTAGGGTGCATCATCTTCACTTCCTCCGTGTTCCTGGAGTGTGCTGCTTTTGAGCGTGTCCTGCCCACCCCGGAAATGGGGTGAGGAAGCTGCTCTGAGGGCACTCCTACCTCTGCTCTTTAATCCTCTGCCTCTGGTGTGATGACACGCTATGCCTACAACACAGCTTTACTATCTTATTTCTGAGCTTGCTGTGTGCAAATGGGAGCTGACAGACAGGATGTGCTCAAGAGCTATCCTCCCTGGGAGTGTGGGGGTTGTGGTGCACACATACCCATTCACATTTTCTTAGTTGATCACAGGAAGAGTCCTTCAGCATGTCTTAGGAGGCTCACTGGAGCCCACACCTGCCACCTATGTATCTGAAGGTCATTAGGGACACAGTTATCAACTTACCATTGCAGATTAATTTAGGACCACTCTAACACTCATTTAGTCTTAGGTCATCTTTAGGGTTTCAGTGAGGGCCACCCTCAATTTTCCATAAGACTGCTAGTTACTAACAGCTTATTATTTGCAGTGGAAGCTGACAACTCATCCTACCCTAAATGGCTAAAGCAGAGTTTACTGTATGGCTGTGAAGAACAGACCAGGAAGGCAAGGAGGCAATGAGCACTCTTCCTAAAAAAACCTAAGATCCTTAGCCGAAGTCTTGACCGACTTCCTAAGGCTTGCTGAATGTCATTCAGATAACCTACTTCATGACATGTTATTTCCTACAAAAGGTCTTCCTTCTTGTTAAAGCTTAGTCTCCTAAAGAGCCACCCTGCCCTATCTGCTGCATGACAGGGGAAATAAGTTATTTATTTCTTTTTCCCCTAAGATTTTACATATTTTTGGTTTTTATCTAGTTCTGTCACATACCTTTATACCGCACCATTCCATTCACTAGTTCCACTCTGTTTACTAATAAAGAATACCCCAATAAGTACTTCCAATAACAGAGAGATACTCAACAGCTGTATTCAAGTCAGGCTAAGGTAAATTTCATGCAATTTAAAATAAACTAAAATGGACTAAAGGCAGCACAAATCAAATAATGTTATCCAACAATAGTGAAGATAATCAGGTATCTCCTTACTTGGTGTAGTCATCAATCTATTGATATGTGGAACTCTAACAGTTTATACCAGCTCTAGTTCTGCTGCAACATACATGCTGATGGATAAGGAGCAAAAGTTCACTAATCAATTTCTAACACACTTAGTAAAAGTTCCATGTGACATTTTTACAGCTGACAGCACAAAAATGGCAATCCTTTAGAAACCGTGACTTCACTCTTTTGAAATCACATATATAATTCTTCTATTTAACAGCTTGTCAGTAGCATCCTTTTGTGATAAATTGCATGAGAAGGATCTGTCATCAGACTTTAGCATTTTTCCCCATCCTTCAGGAGGTTTAGATAAATAAGGTGGCACTGCACACCTGCTGTACAATAGTGTATCCTATTTTTTTCTCCAAAATCTCTGACTGCTTGAATAAAATCTAGCTACTTTGCTCTGCTAAAAAAAAAGCAACTCTCTACAATCGCAATGTAAAATCTGTATGCTATGGGCCAGATTCTGCTCTGCCTATTAGGCTTAAAGTAATTGAAAATCCATTGATGCATATCCTTTTGTAACAAACCATCATTTTACTGTTAAGACTGAATCATAGAACAGTGAGAACATAGGCACTGACTTAGATTTTTGCCGGTGGGTGCTTCCAGACAAAACCCTCCCCCCCATCCCCCT